TTTTTTTTAAAAAAAAAAAAAAACATTGTTCTAGATTTTTTATGCACAAATTTCTTACCTACCTTAACTTAAAAGACTTTGATTTTAAACATAGGAGATTAAATATATTATATAGTTTTTTTTTCCAAATTTTTTTTGTACAACTTTCTCATATGACTAAATTGAAAACTTTGAAAGAAAACAAATATATATATGTACATATTTAATTATGTATATAATGTAGAGGTTTTTAATTCACCTCACATGTTAACATAATTTATAGATGGTAAATTGTATGGTGTAATTGCATATTTCTGTTATAAAATAACATAATCATTTTGTTCTAAAATGACATAATTATAGTTAATATGCACATTTAAATATTATTTTACACTACATATTATAATTATAAGTTTAGCATAGTGCAATGTAATTATTATTATTGTTTATATTAGCGAAGGCTGATTGGATACGAAATATTCAATTATGACTGATCATATAATTTTTTTTTTCAATTCAAAATTTAATTTAAATTTAACTCAAGATAACTATAAATTTAACCCAGGATAACTTAAATTTAACTTGAATTTTATATCAATCACTTGATATTAGTTATAATTCACTTTTCATTCACTCAGATTACCTATAATAACTTCTGATCACTTTTATCTTACTATTATATATCACATCGATTTTAATAACTAAATTTAAATATTATTTTAATAAAAAATTCAAAATTCAACTCAAACTAAATTCAATCAACTTTAAAAAAAAAATAAAAAATAAAATTGACTTTATTCAATATATAATCCCATCAAAATATCCAAACGAATTTGTATGTAAACCAAAAAGTTTTCTTTGACCACAGTAATATCATATGGCACACAGCTATATAGTCCCACTCCCACCTAATGAGTGCGTTTTGCGCCAAAAAAAAAATTCCAAAAAAAAAAAAAGAAAAAAAAATCAAAAATATTTTACAAGACAAATATCACGAGAACAATACACAATACCTGCTACAGAGGTTTGAATATTTATTTACCACATTATTATTATGATTATGATTTTTTTTTTTTAAAAAAAATTAAAGTAATCATCGATGTGTATATATATAGGAGAATGCTACCATCCCGACGGGATGATTTTGTTGTATTTTTTAAACGTAGATTATCTACACATTACTAGATTATATATATATCTACGACTACAAAAGACAACAGAACCGTCCCGTAACGGGATGTAGCATTTCCCGTATATTTATTTATTCATTGCGCCATTTTATCTTCACCCAGAGCACAAAACCGCCATAGCTGCATATTTCTCAGTTCCCACAGCTTACAGCCACCTAACAAAGAAGCTCGAGCAAGCCTCTCGTTTCTCTAATGCCGAACTAGAAACCTGCATCTCCATACACTGTGACACGCACACACACAGAGAGATAGAGATAGAGATAGAGATAGAGAGAGAAAACAAACTACGATGTTCGATCTGAATCTGGCCGCCGATTTCCTCGGGAAGGTCAATTTTGAAGACGACGGTCGCTCGGAGGCGCTGTCACCGGAGGAAGGAGAAACCGCCTCCAGCAACGACGACGCGTGCTCCACACGCGCCGCCGACCCGTGTCTGGTTACTCGGGATCTGTTCCCGGCTGTTCGGGTCGCGGATGCCCCCTCCGACAACGGTCCTCCGCAGGTGCAGGGGAAGAAGAGCCGGCGGGGCCCCCGGTCGAGGAGCTCGCAGTACAGAGGGGTTACTTTCTACCGGAGGACCGGCCGGTGGGAGTCCCATATATGGTCCGATTTTGCACAATTGCAGCAGGCCCTTTTGTACTCCATTAATATTTATCTATTTATTTTCACTTTCAAGTTTCATCGGTTTCTAATGTTTTTATATTATTCTGTGGTACTCCTCGATTTTGGGTTGCAGGGATTGTGGGAAACAAGTTTATTTGGGTACGAATATGACTGATTTCAATTTTGGAATGTTGATTTAAAGTGCATTTTCCTTCCAATTCTTTGGGGTCCAAAATTGATTGATGTTGTTTGATGGGGATTTCTTGTTTAGGTGGATTTGACACTGCTCTTGCAGCGGCTAGGTGAGGTTTTCATTTCCAAATTTGTTCATTTTATCAAGTGCGAATTTAGTTTGATGGGATGTCTTGATCTGACAAGTTTTAATCTATTTTTCTTGGCATCAGAGCTTACGACAGAGCTGCAATCAAGTTCCGTGGAGTCGAAGCTGATATCAACTTTAACCTCAAAGACTATGAGGAAGATATGAAGCAGGTGAGAGGCTATACACGGTTTTTGGTTAGTTTATCGTTTTCATCGTAACTCGTAAATTCTTATAGTTCGCGAATAATTTCATAAGCTTTGATGGCTTCGTCGAGTGGAAGGAGTTGTCGTGTATGTAAAAAGTACGTGCTTAAAGTATTACGTTGTTAGGAGTTCCATGAAAGAAAAACGCAGTGTAGCTGAGTTCTCATAATTTGCTCATCTATGTCGTTTATTTACTTCTCTTTTCATTTTTTTTTTTCTTTCTCCCCTCTAAATGCAGGCTAACAACCTGTCGAAAGAAGAATTTGTGCACATATTACGTAGGCAGAGCACTGGATTCTCGAGGGGTAGTTCTAAATACAGAGGAGTTACGCTTCACAAGTGTGGTCGTTGGGAAGCTCGAATGGGGCAGTTTCTTGGCAAGAAGTGAGTCAAATCCTCAAACTCTGCAATCTTCTCCTACTCTGTGCTGCATTGCTTTGTGTCTTTCTAGATATCTCATGAAAAATTTAGCTTTAGATCTTTTGGAGGCTGTTCTAGTGAAAGTCGCGATTCGCGAGAAGTACTTACTGAATCAGTGAATTGTTCACGTATTAGAAACAATAATAGGCGTTTTCTAAAGTGTAAATTTGGCAAGAAAAACATTTGGGATTCGTATTTTCTTAGCGAGGATTCACGGTGCACTGCAGGTATATATATCTTGGGCTATTCAACACTGAAGTAGAAGCTGCAAGGTCCTTATAATGATCATTGACATTAAATTTTAGCCCTATGAAAAAAACTTTTACTATTCATCTCAAAAGGGTGTGGCCCAAACTCCTCTCTGTCCCTCTTCATTTTTCAAATTTTCTTTTACTGAAAAAGCAGGGCTTATGACAAGGCCGCCATCAAGTGCAATGGAAGAGAAGCTGTTACCAACTTTGAGCCGAGCACGTATGAAGGAGAGATGCTATCAGAAGCATATAGCCAAGGTAATTTATTAAGTTTGCCCTTTTTTTTTCGTCAGCTATAGTATGCGTAAATATTCTCTGCTTTGTGATAGCAGGTGGCGAAAATGATCTTGATTTGAACTTGGGGATGTCAGTTTCTTCCCCAAAGGAAAGCGCAAATTCCGGGTCTTTCAGATTCCATCCTTATGATGTTAATGATGCAAGAATTTCGACGGTAATGTTTCAACTTTTACTCAAATATAAAACGGTTATCCATTTGTGCCGTTTACATTTAGCACCGAAGGATATTTGCAACTCTACAGTTCACTTCTCCAGTGTTCGCTTCTGTCGAGTGATTATTATATCTTCATCTTCATCTTCTATCTTTTTTTGAAAATCCAGTTTTCTTTACTTCTGCACAGCTACATATGGAGAATCCGACTGCTACAAGAGTGGGTAATCCACCACCGCTAAATGGACTGCCGATAACAACATTAGCTCATCCTATTTTGTTAACCGGAATGAATCATGAATTCGCTCCCTCGTACGGGGTAAGACATTGTCGCTTTTCCCGTTTTCTTCTTGCATCACAACACATTGTGGAAATTAATCCCATCTTTAAGGACATAGAAAACGTTGATTGCTACATTGATTTTACTTCTGAATGTACACGAAGTTCGTATTTTGAGACTCTCGTTGAACTATTTTTGCAGGAAGAGGCCATTGAGCAAGCTCGAAAAACAGCTTCTCGAGAACAAGTAGGTCAGTGGGCCCGTGCGTGTAGCGATCAGTTTCGAGCCAACCCGACTGCAACTGCAGCATCATCAGGATTCTCATCATCATCATCATCATTACCGTTCTCCGGTTCGTATCCGACGGCCCTTAACCTCTGCTTCTCTTTGTGTCCAAATGCACCCTCAACAAAAGCTTCTCAACATTCATCTACGCATATAAGCCCAACCTTTCCACGCCCTTGAACTTGAAGCACCATCTGCTTCGGATATGCAGAGCACAATAAATTATTATATATATCTAAATATTCATTTGGGATTATTGTTTTTCTTGTTCTTCTTTTTTTTTTTTTGTTACTCTTTTTGTTCTCTGGGTTTTGCTTTTTTCGTCCAAAAGACGTTGATGCACAGAGAATATATAAGCATTATTTTGCAAGTTACGAGGATGAGCGATATATATTGATGACAATTAGTTAAGTTTGTACGTCAAAAAGTGATCGGACGGTATGAACTGAGTGAATCGCCATTGATAACAATTAGTTACCAAACTATTTTGTACGTCAAAAAGTGATCAGACAGTATGAACTGAGTGAATCGCCAAAGAAAATGAGATCGCAAAGTAGCATTTATTGCTCTTAGTGCGTTAGCGCAACGGCTTTCGCGCGTCTTGCTCAATCATTATTGCTCTTAGTGAGTGTTTGTATGTAGTTCATTGCGTGATCCCAGAACATATTCAATACATGCTGATCTATGAACAATTATGACGAGAAGACAATAATTGTCGTATGCCAACTAAGGATGTGAAGGGCATGCGCGTCGACGGGCATGAGAAGAGACGGGTCGACCATTGGCCTGGATTGAGTTGAAGCTCAAGTCTGTTATTTATTTTTTAACATAAGTTTGAAGTTTTTCTGAAGTATTTCTAGCCCAACTCAATAAACCATTGCGTTGAATAAGAAAATGCATAAGAAGTACCAATATGATTGAGATTCATATTTTTCTAGAAAATGCAAGAGTTTACGAATGAATAATTTCTGTGAAGATCTCTGTATAAATAGTTATACAAATAGTGATACATAAATCTACAACTCTTAATATGAGCCGTTTAATCTTGATTTTCATAGATAAGAATCCTACGGTTGATATGTGGATAAGATAATCTACAACTTTTAATCTTAGCCATTAAATCTTTAGATAAGAATCACACGGTTGATATGTGGATAAGAACATCTACACCTTTTAATCTTAGTCATTAAATCTTTAGATAAGAATCTTACGGTTGATATGTGGATAAGAAAATCTACACTTTTTAATCTTAGCCATTAAATCTTTAGATAAGAATCTTACGGTTCATATGTGAACAAGAAAATCTACACCTTTTAATCTTAGCCATTAAATCTTGATATAAGAATCCTACTGTTGTAGATAAGGAAATCCACAACTTTAAATCTTAACTGTTAAATTAGATTTCCTATCACGAATGTCAACTGTACGATTCTTATCAATAGCAATAAAATATACTATAAATACTCTATATGGTGAGGCAAAAGTTTGTACCACCAAAATATAACTTCATCATTTTCTGATTTACGTTTTAGATCTATTATCTTGTAGTAATTTCTGTTATGGGTTCCAACTATACTGTGAATGAAGATCAACACCTATGTCGGTCTTATATAGAAATTTCTCAAGATCCATAGGTGGACATATATCAAAGTAGAGATCAATTCTGGCTTCGGATGACGAACGAGTATAATTCTACAAAACCCAATCCAATATGGCCTGATCGTCCACAAAGATCGACCCAATGTCGCATGGGAGCTATCAATACTGCAATTAAACTTTTCAAATCTTGTGTGGAGCAAATTGAAAATGCAAACATCAGTGGAGCTTCTGAACATGATGTGGTAAGAAATTTTACAACCATTATTTATTTATATTTATAATAAAATTTTATATTTTTTAATGCTATTTATTTTCACATTGTAGATGGAGCATGCGAATGTACTTTATTCGCAAAACCCAAAAAATAAAAGTAAGAAACCATTCAAGTACGAGCATGTGTGGAATATTATGAAAGATTTTACATTGTTTGAGTGCACATCAACCAAGCGAAACACTTTTTCATCTCAACTGCAATCAGATGCACAACTCGAGTCTCCCATTTCACCTAATCCAAAACTATCTAATTTTTCTATTAATTTTAGCGATGAAAATGCTAGTGGTGGTTCATCATCACAATGACCATTAGGTACTAAAAAATCAAAATTTAAGAGAAAACAGGGAGAAGATGTATCTGCAGTTATAAAAGCAATGAAAGAGGAAAATAAAAAATTTAGAAGGATGATAAGAAAACTCATCAATGAAGAGAGATCACGACAGTGAGATGATGAGACAAAAATTGAAATCCAAAAGCAAAAAAATGAATTAAGAAAACAATTTGTTGAGACTACCACATGGACAAAGCAAAATAAAATTTTAATGATGGATTTGGAGTCCATACAAGATAGCCGTCATTGGGAATATTTAAAAAATGAGCAAGAACAATTTCTGAGAAAAAAAGAAGGATCGCGACCATCACAAGCCAACAACACTTTTGGTTCTTTCAGTGAGTTTTTTCAAGATCTTGGGGGGTCTGGAAGTGGTTTGGGAGACTACTAGAATTATTTGTGTGTTCCTTTGATTTTTATGTCATCTTTAATCATGTTGTTTTTATTTGTGTATTTTAAGTCATTTTTAATCATGTTGTTTTCATTTGTGTTCTATGATTTATGTATTGTAAACTTTTAATTTGAATGAAATAAACTTGTTTGAGTGTGCTAAATTTAATTCATATGATATCATTTTAATATTGAAAAATTACGAAATAAAATTATAATACATCAATAAATAAAAAGCACAATATTATTTAGCATAGAAAATACAATTACTAATACACATTATACAAAAATTTATCAATAATAATACACAAAAAAACATAAAAATAAAAATAAAAAAATTAATTATAGCGTCGAGCTACAGTGTTGCACCACATACGCCACATATGGCGCTTCCCGACTCTCATCTGGCGGAGAACTCTAGCGCCGCATTGGAGGAGAAATCCTCGCTACTCCAGCGCAAAACGTCATATCTGGCGCAGCCTGGAGAGGCTCTTGGCAAACTTCTTCTATTCAGGATTGTTATTTGTCGTCCCAAATTACTACTTGTCACCCGAAAAATTAATAAAAAATGATAAATTTACAAAAATATCCTTGTGGTAAAAAAAAAGTTATTGAAAAAATTGCATTCAAATGTCTATTAACTAAGCTTGGAAGCAAAAGAAACGTCTACAAGCTAAGCTTGACAGCCAAAGAAACGTCCAGCAAAGAAGCTCGACTGTGAAGACAAACGTCTAAGGGCTAAGCTTGGGAACCAAGAAAACGTCCAAATACGAAGCCCGACTCTGAAGAGAAACACCTAAATGAGATGGGCAACACATTTAAAACTTTTACATTGCAAGCTTATTATGCCGCTAAACGTCTAAATGATAAGTTTGAGGCAACGTGGAACGTTCAGAAGCTAAGCTTGTAAGGCAGAAAAACGTCCAACATGGAAGCTCAACTGTGTAAACAAACGTCCACAAGCTAAGCTTATAAGGTAGACAAACGTCTAACATGGAAACTTCACTGTGAAAACAAACGTCCAGTAGCCAAGCTTGGAAGTCACGTAAACATCTAACTGAAAAGCTTGAGGTCATGTGAAACGTCCAAGAGTTAAGCTTTATAGCATACTAAACGTTCTTGATTGAAGCTTGCCTATGAAAGCAAACGTCCAGAAACTATGCTTGGTAGCCAAGCAAACGTCAGGGGCGGCTCTTGGGCCAGCCAGACTAGGCTTCAGCCTAGGGCCTCATATTTTTTGGGGCCTCCTAAATAT